ACGTGTAGTGCGTTTCTAACTTCTCTGCTGCTTTTAACTTCTCTAATTCCCTTTCTGCTGCTTCTGTTGCCCACGCTGCGATGAAGAAGGGGTGGCGATGTCCTTTCGCATTCTGTCCACTTCACTCTCACGTATAAGCAACCCAGGGCTTAACGGTCGCTGACTTTCCAGTTTCATTCTACTACAATCAACGGCAATAAACAGTTTGTTGCAGTCGAAGTGGATTAAGAAGACAGCTACTTTAGATCGAGTCGCGGCGGTTCGAAGTTTGTCTGTGTGCGTGTGAATTTCTGCCTATGTGCGAGTGCGGGTCTACATTACTTGTGAGCCATCTATGTCAAATCCGGACAAGACAACAAATGAAGACAAAAAGGTTATGGAAGTACTAAAACTTGGTTCCAAGGGGCGGGCAACATGGGCTGTCTCGTCTGTTACTCACAAAGGCTAGTAACGGACACTGAGTAGAGTCGGAGGAGTCGGATGGATGGGGCAAAAATACAACCCAGTACATAACATGGCAGTCGTATCGTTGCTACTGACTAGTGCGACGGGGCGGTGGGCAAATCAATAACTAGGTGTCTCCTAATCGCCGAATCACCTTACCGTTGGATCGTAAGGACCTACCAGTACGATAGCGCTTATATGTCTTTCCCGATGCTTGCGGTTTCATATATATATATATATATATATATATATATATATATATATATATATATATATATATATATAGATATGTGTATATTCAAATGTTTCCACTTGTCAAACATCCAATGATTCATTGGTTCATTCACCCTTCTAATTTTATCGATAACAAGGGACACATTACTCGAAAGTAACTTTCAATACATTTACTATAATCATCTAAACTAACATATAGAAGAATTCTTATTTTGAATTTTTGACTGTCAGATATCCGTCGGCCTTGTTGATTAATACTAGTTATATCAGGTCTTTTAGAACCAGTAATTTTCTGCTTTTAAAAACATCCAGCTTTAAATGTGCTTTATACTTTCAGAGATAGAATCGCGCGAATGATGCGTAAGATATAAGATCTTGTTGATTTCGTAGCGCAGAGGCCGTCTGCATTAACCACGTGGCTATTCGTGTAGGATATCAGGGTTTCTGAGTGTTGTACGCGCTCTAGTTCTGAGAACAAAGCTTCCTATTTTGTATCGCGAGCGAAATTCGAGCTTGGTAGTATATTGTATCAAAGCCGACGGCAGCCAACGCAAATATTCAAACATGATTTAGACTGTACTACGGATGGCTGACAATAAACCTGACAGACCTACCGGCTTTTTCTATGGACGTAAACTGTATATTTTTGCGTTGGGTATCCTTCTGCAAACTTCGGGCATTATATATACTATTGTAGTACCTAGCTAACAATTTTACAATGCCAAGACCTTGCCAGTCCAGTGAGGTCGATACTGGCTTATGTATTTGCACAAACCTGCGTTTATCCCATTTGATCACAAGGGGCGAAAGGGAATACAGCCCCAGCGATTAAACGAACCGCTCAGTGATCGGGGAAAACAGAAGCTTTATGCACTGTTTGCCGCGCTACAGCAGATCAGCACATGTTATTCCATCGAAACCGAATTAATAATGAGGAAAAAACTCGATAATTTAAGGGGGTCAGTAAATAAGGTCACCTCTTATGAAAACCACGAATATATATACTACTTACACATGAGTTCTGACGCTTAGAAAAAGTAACTTGTGTAATTTTTTTCGCGATTTAATTGAGAGTGTTGGTTGCAACTAATGATATGATGTTCACAGTAAGATTTTATACGAAATGATCAGTTATTTGAAGGCAAAAACAATAAACTCATCAACCTGTATGTATTCATTTATTACTCTCTACATTTCTATATAACTTCACATACTAGCTCTTGTTTAGTTAATCTTTATTGTTTATTGCCTCTCAGTGAAGTTCCTTCTTTAAACCCACTTAACATGTTTAACATAGTTGGCCTTTTAAGAACCAGAAGCCTTTCGATCGTATGATAGTTTGTCTTCGTTTTAACAAAAGAATACGTAGTGCGGTTAACGTAAAGTTTTCTGCACTGAACCTCGGCCATTTTTTGTTTGACATCTTTTCGGAATCACATTATTTCGAAGAACGCCAGCACAGGTTCTGCCCTAATTATCTAGATTTTATCCAGTAGCCCCATAATGCGGTAGAGTAATTATAGTAACAATATATTTATCTATCGCTCTTTGATTTACGCAAATTCCTAAATCAAATCTCAACCTTCACCTATGGTACAAAAAAGATGGCAAACGAATAGGTACTTGAGATAGCAAAAAATTATGGGGTAGCCTAGGGTCATACTGCCGCGTCCGTGATGCATACGGGTCAAAAGTGGCGCACAGGTTTTGTATCTCATTTCCCTTTAATCATTCGACAATTAGTAAAATTCGATCGATGACAATTCTCAATGAATTTGTTGTTCCAACGATAGCTGAGCCGATACTGAGTCCTGGCGTTATAGGGCAGTATTGCGAAAGTGCTTGTCCGAACTCCTTGACCTTTAATTTACTTCTACATGCTGCTTCTTGTTAGTCAAGATAGATCTCATAGCCTAACATGGTAACCTTGGCCGAAGATTTTCTACCATCGTTACCTCGGCGCTCTGGCCAGCGCAAAAACTGTATTGTCTATTATTGAACGTATTCCTTTCTATGAAGTCGTTCTTAGAGGTACATAAACAGCTTTATGAGCCAACCAGAGTTAGAAGACTGTTTCTCGCGAACCTCAATCCTTCCCCCGCCTTTACGAACTAGTATGAATACGACTATCTTGTAAGTGTATGTGAAAGTGCTTTAAATGATGTGGGAATCATGGGACACGGTGTAGCATCATGATCTACAGTCGCTGTTTTCTTATAGATTCGATGGTTTCTGCGATGTCTAAGGTCCGTGGCAAGGAAGCTTTTGGATAACTTAAGAGTCAATACAGTCAATGACAAGGCATGTATTACCATATTTGCTACTTTTTTTTTGCTCCCTTTCTACGCCTCTTGAGATAAGGAACAGCCTAGGTTTTTTGCAAAGAAGCAAAGCGGGCTTATGTTGAGTATAGAGATTGGTGGCAACCTGTTGCATAAACTTCAAAGGATTCGTAGAGTTCGAATGCAAGTGCTAATCTGCACGAGCTCTTTTGCCAGGCCAGCTTAGACCGCCGGAGTTTTTGCAATTCAGAGCTTTGCTGGGTCGTGCTGCAGCCAACTAGACTGGTAAATATTTATGTGACATGATTCTCAACTTATTCGGTATACTAGATAACGAATGAGATAAACCGGTCTAAGTTGTGCCGTATAAAGACACGTATGTCCGTGTTTGCATGGGCGGATCCATTTGTTGCTTGAATCAGCTACAAAACCCAAGTAAATTGAAAAGCATTGTATCAATAACAAGAATATAGGAAAAAGAAATAACAAGAACATAGGAGAACATAATATAGGAAGTTCTTATTTTATGCTGTGATTGTCGGATAAAACTTGATTTTTGAGAATATCAACAATTCCATCCCCACCGTGACGGAAGACTAGGGCCTTCTGGTAAACGAACACCAGGGTTAGCCCGGCTGAATTTTTACCCGAAGGGTATTGTCCCGTCCGATCTGTTCGTGTTTACCAGTACTATACTATCGTCCATGAGTTACCAGGCGCAGTACAGGGTAAGCAGGTCACGCTTGCTTACATCTCATCGTTGCCGTGAAACCCTTCCTTCTTGGGCTGATTTCGCTTTCGCGTCAATATATGCATGTGGGTCGTTATCAACAAATTTTAGCTCGAGAAAACAAAACCGCCGAGTAGACAGGAGCGGCGTGTCAAAACACCCCGACGGTACAGTTATGCAGATAGGATCCCTATCACCCTCTCACCCCCCTAGCACCTGCGCTAACAACAATCAAAGGTGGAGCAGCAGCAGCAGCGATAGCGACTGCATCAGTTAAAGAATCCCTTTTGAGTCTAAAGCTATCGTCCGGCTCCTCCCGATCCCGTTTTGTACTTAGTATGCCACGATGCCATTTCCTATCCTTCTGATAAGAGGCAAAACCGGCGGTAAAATGGCACAGGATCAGCTTGACGTTAGGGGCAGCGGTAGCAACAGGCGACGCGGATAATTCCTGTTAGGCCTTGTCGTACCTAGACGACAACGAAGGGAAGAAGTCTTCGATTTTTCTGTTCTCCTCGATCGCAAGCTCCGCCATATTTCCATCGCAGCGGCACACTCTCTAGAAGTTGCCAGTCTCGTTCTAGAGTGGTTCAGCTAACGAACCTCGTAAGCGAGAAGTATAACTTCTCTTGTAGTTCGATACATAGAGAATATTAAAATAAAGAGAGAAAGAGCGAGCCGTGAGAACAAAATTGCCTTCCTTTTCACGTGCTGAAGCTATTGAGGGGAGATTAGTTCGAAATACAGTACCTTGGCAAGAAACAGTAGCTGTCGTGGTAGTCGTAATGTAATAGTTGTAGTTAACACAACTAGAAGAACAGTTGTAGAACACAACTACAAAGTGTGCGCGGATGGCTTAGAGTATTAAAAATCGTCAAGAGATACGAAAGCAGATTGAAAAAATGTACTTCATTAATGAAGTACGCTTTTATGTATGTGATTTGTTCAGGCGTAATCTAAACATACACAATTCTAACATAAACGTATTATTTAAGATGCATTAGGTGAGAACCACAGTTATTCTGAACTACAATATTAAAACACCTCTTCGTACAACGGAGAAGCACCTTCTTGGTAAATTTCCTAACTGATTAAATTAAAATATCTAGTTGGCTGGAATTGTACCTTGACAAGAGGTTACAGGTGAGTGTTGAATATAGCTGGAAATTCGTCGGCCGCAACAAATTCACGGGTAAAAACACAGTTTATCATAGCTAACCTGGCCCCTCGTAGTATAACGCAAACATAAATGCACAATGGCTCAGCATGTGTAATTTAAACTCTGTCAATAAAGGAAACCAAATACTTACTGTATTCGTAGTAATGATCAACAGTATGAACCCAGCCAACATCGTCGTGGGTATGCGATATGATGTGGATGTTTAGGTGACCCTCCTTAGGTTTATGGCACGCCTGCAAGTGAAGGCAAAAGCGGAACGCAGAAGAATAGTTATGCCTATTTTTCCACAATCTGGTGATTTGATTTTCACAATCGGGAGATAAACGTATCTATTGATCACGCGTACATGTCATGGGGTACATTCTGTAAATAGATAGTAAACCTTGTACAAAAATCACTGTATGCAGACGGACAACGGCGACACTTAAAGCAACTGGAGACTGACTAGGGGAGTCCGACAACTAATTCCGGGAACTGATTAGAAGAGTCCGGGGACAAACTAAAAAAATCTGACAAGTGATTCCGGGAACCGATTAGAAGAATCCGGAGACGGACTAGGAGAGCCCTACAACTGGTTCCGGAAACTGATTAGAAGCATCCGGGGACTGACTAGGATAGTCTGGGACTGATTCGAAGAGTCTGGAGACTGACTAGAAGAGTTTAGAGGCCGACTGGGAGAGTCCGGACGCCGACTAGGATGGTCCAAAAATTAGGTTGAACTATAAATTAGATGGATCTTAGATCTTTTTACCGGCTGAAGCTTCTGTAGTTTTTCTATACCAAGCCTTCCAGTAATAATAGTAAAAAAAAAGTATGCACAATCCCATGTGTACTTGTACATTCAATAACTAAAGCGTATGAGTTTGTAGTAAGCTTAAGATTTTGAATCGAATAAATGTTTAGTGCATTAAAGAAATGCCTGTTATAGAAGGAGCAAAAAGATATCAATCTACTATACGATGTCTTATTTCCTACAACAACGACAGAAAGGCAGCATCCAATACACCAAAGAGTAAATTCGACAGTTGGCTAAAGGGAAGGATAGAAAATAGAGAGACGTGCAACGTATACCGCCGTCAATAAAATCACGTGCTCATCGAAGAGCCGTTTCCTCTTGTCTAAAACAGGTTTTAATCTTTACACTATTATCTTATATTTACACTTATTATAGTTGTTGCCAGAACAGCTTTTTATCCTTGGACATTATTTGAAGTGAGGAAAACCAGACATCCCAAGGGATCATTGACTAAATATAATGGTACGAATGGGGCGGTTATTCGCAAGATTTATCCAAAAACTAGCGCGACAAATGTTTACACAACAGAAACACGTAGGGTTTCATTTGTTGTCGCTAAGAGAAGATTTAATGGCCGCCTCCGTATAGCGTCTTGATGGCTTAAAACGTTTCTTGGCATGTGCCCTTTCATAAAAAAAAATATAAACCTTTAATCTAGAACGACTAACAAACGTAGCTTTCAAAAACAGACAAGTATAAGCACAATTATTGTAAACATGCCGAGAATAATTTCCTTTTGTGAAGAAGAGGTGAACGTTTCAACAGCTGGTGGCCAGGACCTGTAATGTGCTATTCTTCGCCATGTGTTATTTATATTACATCGTCCATTTCGTTTCCAATCTGTTTTCTCAAAACCTTGTTTAGAATGGGAAAATTTTGAGGTTGGCATTTTTAGAATTGCCGTATATTTTTCAGTTGTAAGCCACAACTAAATTGTTCTCGTCGTATAGTACGATTGCGCCTTTAATTATTGTTAATCTGTTCTGATAATTGAAAAACTAGATGTTTTGCGTACGGACAAAGCCTTTTGCACTCAAAAGTAAGCCACTGATATTGGTCATGCTATACCCATATTCAACCATAACTATAGCAAGTATAGCAGTTTCTAGGGGCAATTACAACGTTTCGAAAAAGACATTCTGGAAAATGTAGATAGATGAACTCTCACTATCTCCGGGCCGTACTTCTGCTCCAATGACCTCTGTGTACAATATCAAGCGCACTCTAATTTTTTTTAAATTTCAAATACGTATATACAATATTTTTTTAAGGAACAAGTCTGTACATAATACAAACGTATATACACTTCTGCTAGGTCAAGGCTTTGAGCATAAATATTATGCTGCAGAATAAAAATTTCCAAGGTGAGAATTTAGAGGGAAAAATGATAGTGTATTTGTGGTGATATTAATTAAAATATAAACTGTATAAAGCTGAGGTTATATATTTGCGATTTTTTTTCGTCTCGTAACAGTAGATGGGTTAACAAGTAGCCCGTGTTAGCAGGTTCTCGAAATAGTAATATCCTGTCCTATTTAACTGTAATACATATATAAATTGTTACGGACGAAGGATTCGAAGTAGTGCTAACGAAAAAATGAGAACTGGCAGTGGCGCCAAATTCAAAGGCGTTTCCATGGCAGGCACTAATTGAACAGAAATTGTACAGATATTAGTTGGTAACTTATCTCGAAAAACGCTCTGGAAAAACTTCTGACTTTTTAGCTAGTCGCAATCAGCAATTTCTTCCAAGGATCCGATTGAAGATTGGATCGTCCTTTTATGAGCTTTTTAGGTTATTTTCTGCCTAGACATCATAACACACATTTGAGCTGAACAGTTCATATCATAGTATATCAGTTGCTATGTAAAAATACGGTACTTCTTATAACTAAGGATCATTCAGCACTGTAACATCTCGTGGACATGCTTCGTAGCAGTAAGTGCGCGAAACGGTTACGTTAGTTTTTCCTACGAAGAAAAGTAACTACGGCAATCTATACTATAGCTAAAAGGATATGACGAGGAAGGCAGCAGGTGTTTCAATTGATGTCCTGCATTAATGTCCAAAGCAGAAGGTGTACATATGCGTGTGTTAAGTGTAGCGCATTTGACGAACGCTCGAATCCAACGAATAGCAAGGAGAGAATCTCCGTGTAATTGGGACAGCAAAACGTTACTAGTTTCAGAACCTGCTAATACAGGCTACCCGTTAACCTATCCATTTTTAATAGACGAAAAAATTACAAACGCATAACTTGTGCTATATATAGTTCATATTTTAATATCACTCTTTTACTAATATACTATTATTATATGTTATTAATTAATATATATATATATATATATATATATAGATATTCTCATCTTGGAAATTTTCGTTCTGTAGCATAACGTTTATGTTGACAAGCTAGCAGAAGTGTACATACGTTTGTATTATGTCCAAACTTATATATATCTATGTGTACACACATTCACGACAGGCCCGCACATTCGTAGCTCATTAATGTTTCGTCTTCATATTCCATTATGATTTGATGCTAATAAAAAAGTGTATTTTTTTTTTCTTTTTGTTTGGAACATATCTATCTGGCAAAATCTGTCTTAGTATTCATTAACGAAGCGAATGGAAGTCATGATTCTGCCACCGTTATATTTATAGAATACCACGTTGCTTTCAGGCAGAGCATCGGTCGACTGCTAGTAGATGATTTAAATAGATCATTAACTCAAGAAGATAGAATCAATATATGAATGACAAAGAGAGAAAAACAACCAGGACAGATCGACATTGTACTGTTGTTTCCATTAGATTAATTGTAATTGATATATCCATCTGTATGGAGCTTTAATTAAGCAGTGTTTACATGAATTAGAGCAGGGCGCCATTTTGTTACAATAATTTTGCTTTTCTTCGAAGTGTTTCGCTTACAGCCGTCCTAATTTCTACTTCGCATTTCGTGCACACACACCTACACGCCCATTACGCTTGATAACGTTAATGGCGGTGAAAGTGGAGCTATCGTCTTCATCTTCTCGACCCTGATTGGCTACCTTCGAGCTTTTCGACGGGGAATGAAGAGCTTCGCTGACGACTATGTTCATCGGCAACGATGGCGTCTTCTCAAAGGAAAATATTTTTGTTTTACGGCGGTTGTTTACCACTGTAGCCATGACTCTATCAAAATGTCGCATGTATCAATCTAACTATTAGTCTTAAAATCATCACCATTATCATTACGATGACGCTAATGGTAAGTTCGAACGTACAACCCAGTTGTAACAACAGCCACTTTCCTAATGCCAGTGTTTCTATCTATTTATCAGACGCTGGCGTCACTAAAAACAGTGACGGCAATAGTCCCAGCGGTAACGACTACGACGCACATAACGATAATCATGATGGTCTCCTCTAGCTATCAGAGTCGTCAAATTTTCATATACTACGAAATATCGTATTGTCGTGAGCAATCACAGCAGTTGCAGAAAAGCCATCTGCACTGACTACGCTACCGGTCTGCCCTAGCAGATCATCGTAGCGTGTCTTATTGATTCAGGCCTTTCCAGCTGCCCTCGTCAGCAAGATCCGGTACCCACTTCTGCCTTCAGTAGGTTCATCGCCGCTGTCGTCTTCACGGCGTAGCGAGCAACGTCACGTCAGGCTTTCAAAGCGATTGCCTATAATATGTATTCACAGAATTATATAATAGACTCTGTAAAGCTATCTTATGGGCGATTGCCACCGCCGCCACTGCTGCTACTGAACGGCACATAGAAGCTAATGACTCTACTGTTTGCTATAGCCAAGTATTGCCATTCTATCTCAAACGAGCTATACTGAATATATGCAAGCAAACAAGCAAGATGACTGCCGCCAGCAAGTAGGTTAACTGTGTAAGCCAGGGGTGCGGCTAAGTGCCGCAGTTAAATGGATCTATGGAAAGGACAGGTAAGCAGACAAACGTACAGACAGAAACACGGCGCATAACGCCTGCCTGGTATTAGGTCCCATTGCCTAAGGGTGTGTCCTCCATCTGGCCTGCGACGCTACTATATTCGCATTGGTATCCTTACTGCTGCTGCGACTCTGTCGGCGAGCCAGCCTTTCCCACCACTAGAACTCACAGGACACGGTATGATCATATGATGGGAACACACATTTAACCTTGATCATAATGATGCTTATTGCTCTGGATATAAGGCGGTAAAAGCCTTTGGCCAGTGATTTTACGCGAGTGGTATGCCTACTGCTGGTTGGATGAGGCCGGTATTGGCTTCGAAGGATTACGCACAGCCATTACTGTGTGCTATTTTGAGTTTACTAAACATACGTCGAGTATTGCTTGACAAATCTGTCTAACGGTGACAAATTCATTAAGCAATTCTCAACAATAATCTCGCTTATGCCCAACGCGTCTGAGAGGTAATCACATCAAC